CGATAACATAGAGTCTGTGTTAGTACAGAGTCCGAACATATACTCACCGCCAAAAGAAACGTGAATACCATATATGTTCTTATATTTGCATAAGTAAACAGCTGACAGGGGACTCGGAATACGAGATTTTCTGATATCGCGATAACATAGAGTCAGTGCTGATTTTAAGTCGGAATATATACTCACCGCCAAAAGAAACGTGAATACCATATATGTTCTTATATTTGCATAAGTAAACAGCAGACAGGGGACCCGGATTACGAGATTTTCTGATATTGTGATAACATAGAGTCGGTGGTGATATTAAGTCGGAATATATACTCACTGCCAAAAGAAATGTGAATACCATATATGTTGGTTAATATATGAAGACTTACACATATCCAAGAGATATTAGATTGTTTCTAAGCACAAACAAACATACTGGTATGTTGTGTGAACTGATGCTCATGAACGCATCACATGTGACGTCAAAGATGCACCATTTGTCTCATGCAGGATTAGTGTGTAAAGTTTGGAAATTATGTGCAGCATATCGTGATAAGAATAAAGACACTGTGGTATCACTTGACTGATAGTTGGTACACTGGGAAACATCTCTTCTTAACGCACATACTTCTTTATATATTTCAAAGGTTTGCCCCGTGAAGATCCGGGGTAGAATAGGTCTTCAGTAACCCAAGCTTGACGTAAAAGGCGACTATGCTTGTCGTAAGAGGTGACTAACGGGATTTGGTGGCCAGGCTCGCTGACTTGGTTGATGCATGTCATCGATCCCAATTGCATGGATCGATGCTCATGATGTCAATCACTGGATAGTCTGGTCCAGACTCGATTATTTACAGACTGCCATCATATAGCTGGAATATTGCTGAGTGCAGCGTAAAACAACAAACAAACAATCAAACAATGGTTTGCGTTTCTTTTGGCAGTGAGTATACATGGTGCAAAAAAACATGTGTTGATAACAAAAAGCATTGACAGAAGTCTGCCATACAGACCCTGAAGCAAATATATCCAATATATCCACTGCATCTCTATAATTGTTGGCAAGTCTAGATAACTGCAATTACTGGAACAGAGTCTCTGGTTTCCTTTTTATTACCTTATTCGACGTAATAAGCGCCCCGCTCTAATAAGCATCCACGATAAAAAGTATGTACAGATTCAAATCAACAAAGGAGGACTCAATGAGACATCATGATAGTGGACACTTACTGTATTCGCCGTATTCGTAATAATCGCCTTGCTCTAATAAGCACCCACGGCGATATTTGCTAATATATTGGCAAGTGAACAATCCCAATTAGCACCCCTTCCGATTGATCAATGTACACAAGACTTATTTTTTCGCGTATAATACGCACTCATGTGTTATATGCACCCTTAATCATGGGCAATTAAATTCTGGAAAAATATATCTGTCGTACATAAACATTTCAGGCTGTCAGCATAAACCACAAAATTTATCTTTCAACTCTGTTTTTTTTCACCAAAATAATATTCTAATAAGAGCCCCCTATTTCTAATTTTGAGAGCGCCCTGGGCGCTTATTACGTCGAAAATGGTATGTTTTATCACATGTTAGTCTACGTTGATAGAAACACAACACTACTCAGCCCTGTTTGTTGAAGGCCATTAGCGTATCACGATACATCATGTTATGGGCCTGATAGTGCTGATAGTAGTAGGACTCTCCGTTTCCCTGCAACCCTGACTATCATGCTATGTAATCTCACTCCACAGCATTAAAAGACATAATAGTGAACAAACTCTCAACATGCACAAATAATTCATTCAAAAGAAATCTTGACAGAGTATTGAGGTAGACCTTTTCTCCCTCAACATGTACAGCCTGACTGGCAATCAGCGTTGAGCTGATGAAAGGACAATGCAGCTATTAACCAAGACTATAAAGTTGAAGGTTAGAGATATCCATAATGTGTATAGTACTCAAAAACGTTAAGATAACACCCAATTGTTTTACCGATTACCATATTTGACGTAATAAGCGCCCAGGGCACTCTCAAAATTAGAAATAGGGGGCTCTTATTAGAATATAATTTTAGTGAGAAAAAAACAGAGTTGAAAGATCGCAAATTTTGTGGTTTATGCTTACAGCCTGAAATGATACAAAAGAAAAGTCTGTGCGTATCATACACGACAGATATATTTTCCAGAATTTAATTGCCCATAATTAAGGGTGCATATAACACACGTGTGTGTATTATACGTGAATAAATAAGTCTTGTGTACATTGATCAATCGGAAGGGGTGCTAATTGGGATTGTCCACTATCCAATATATTGACAAATATCGCCGTGGGCGCTTATTAGAGGGGGTGCTTATTACTTCGAATACAGTAACTATAGTTACAAAGTAGACACAATTTATGGATAACAACTTCTTTAATACTGTATATAACTATAGTATATAACCATAGATATATGAAAAGTTGTCCCTCATGACTATTGCTGACTGGCTGTTTTAGCACAAGGTTTAACCAATACATTTGTAGAGGTTTCCACTCAGCCCTTACTGTAGTGAGTGAGTGTGTGAGAATGGTTTTACGCCACTTTTAGCAATATTCCAGCAATATCATGGCGGGGGGACACCAGAAATAGGCTTCACACATTGCACCCACGTCGGGAATCTAACCCTGGTCTACGGCGTGATGAGGTAATGCTTTTAACACTAGGCTTAGTGACCCGACTGCCCCGCCCTTACTGTAATGCTGTAGCCCTAAATGAAGCAAGTCTAGATTTACAACAGATTAACAAATCAGACCCATCTCACTGGGGCTCCTTTTCAACTTAAATGCAGGTGCTTCTTCTATCTAAATTATATATTTTAAGTGTTAATCTAGACTGAAAGTTGTCATTGCTTCTATCATAAAGCAATTCCGTGACCACAATATTTATGTCCACACTGTGATATGTAACATACTGATAGGTATCATTTCAGCAGGCCATTCATGCCGTTAAAGGCGACTATGCTTGTCATAAGAGGCGACTAACGGGATCGGGTGGTCAGGCTCACTGACTTGGTGCATGTCATCGATCCCAATTACATGGATCGATGCTCATGTCAATCACTCGATTGCCTGGTCCAGGCTCGATTATTTACAGACCGCCGTCATATAGCTGGAATATTGCTGAGTGTGGCGCAAAACAACAAACCAACCAACCAACGTATCATTTCACAAAGGTGTTGTATAAATCTAAATATTTTGGCTCTATCACAGGAAATAACATAACATAAACATCTAACATAGAAAGAAGGTTGCAAACAAGTATCCCCTTTTTTCTGTTATATTTTCCTAATAGTGGTTTGTGATGTATAATGTAATACAAACAACATCATGACACTAGATATTTACTACCCGGGTACCCACACCCCTATTACCCGACCCAACCTGGGTACCCGCTGTTGGTGTCAAGAGATAGGTACAAAATGTCCGATTGGGAATAGTTTGACAGTAGCCCTGGCAAAATGTATCTAGATACACGTATAAAACGATGTGTTCATGCATACACTGAATATGATTGAAGTTTTAGCTTTGTTAAAATACATAAAACAGCCAGAAGGAATGGGCGTAGTCATGAAGAAATGAGAACATTAGAGACTTAAAATTGTTGTGTAACCATGTAGTTATATAGTGAATTTTTGTCATGAAACAATATATCATGTGACTAACCACAGGTCCGGGTAGTCCTGTGGGTACCCGGGTCCTACTCAGTTCCCACCCGACCCGGGTACCCGAGTTACCCGTCACAGCTATATATATATATGATGCCACCTGCCATTTCAGCATTAAGCCATTGTGTAATGCTAAAATGTTTTAGTCGAAAGAGTGCCATCATACAGATCAGTACAAATTGTCCTAATTTCTATTCATACACACGCACACATGTACACATATACACATTCAGTGACTTACCGTGTTCGACGCAATAAGTGCCCCGCTCTAATAAGCACCCACAGCGATATCTGCTAATATATTGGCTAGTGAACAATCCAAATTAGCACCCCTTCCGATTGATCAATGTACACAAGACTTATTTATTCGCGTATAATATGCACTCGTGTGTTATATGCACCGTTAAATTATGGGAATCAAATTCTTGAAAAATATATCTGTCGTACATAAACATTCCAGGCTGTCAGCATAAACCACGAAATTTATCTTTCAACTCTGTTTTTTTCACCAAAATAATATTCTAATAATTCTAATTTTGAGAGCTCCCAGGGCGCTTATAACGTCAAATACGGTATTCATGTTGGGGTCAAGGCTATGAATTATTGTTTCATAGTTCACAGCTGTTCAATGCCTTTTTAGAAAATCTGACAATAGAGCAGCATTGCAAGGTCATTTCTGAATTCACTTGTGATCACTGAAAATCATTTAAAAAAATTAAAACACGAGTTAACAATATTTCTTTCCCTGCTCTTTCCTAACACTCATAGCAGTTGACAGATCTTACTTGAGTTCATCGATATCTGTATTTACAGTTTTGATGAAAGAATGCAGAGTGACATGACACATTCTTATAGAGTACAAAATATACAATCGGAAGTTTCACAAGTGGTAAAATACACTAAGGGTACGCATAGTGCAACATGTAACAAAATAAACTGGTGATATACTGCGATATATAGTAAACAATGATAAGACTATTTGTATAGCGCAAAATCCACATCACTGGGGAACATGCTCAATGCACATAAATGTTATTCTTACTTCCATGAAGTTAATTACGAAGGGTGATATTATAAGGGATTATAAAAGCCGAATACAGCTAACGTACACATCACAAAAATAAAATTCTAATTCATCAGTTCACACAGAAATCGACCCAACCCACATTTGTCATGCATGACAGGTAAGTTGAGGTAACCCTTCTCGACAATGTCATTGTAAACAGTAGACAACACATATTCGTTAAACAATTGTCAAGTGAGAAACTAAAGATTACAGTAAGCGATAAGGCGGTACTCACATATCCTGTCTGCAGGTCCATGCTAGGTATGACGTTACGACAGGTTACAGACAGACAGACAGATGACAAACACTCAGACAAGGTGAGAGGAGTTAGTAGCAAACAAATAAACCCAGAGCATTGCTATCAGGGCAAGTAAAGGAAGCTGCCCTAGATACAACTTTCTCTAGGTGTCCACGTTGGTTATCTGACCTGACAGCTTTTCTTCAGTGTAAAACGTGTCCTATATATACAAGCCAGATTACAAGGAGGTGGTGTTAGCTCATGCCCACTGTCGTCGTGTTAGTTTATCACAGATCAATACAAGTAGGTCTGGTACAAATGACTGACTGGTATCACCCTTGAGTTCAATGGATCACCTGCTGAATGAAACCGGCATGCCTGTCCATTTTGTACGTGGAGATGTTGTATAAAGGCCCAACCTCAGAAATGACTTGGCCAGCCCCGTGCTATCACAGCTGATGCCTTGAGGGTACGCCACACACACACACAGCTCGCGGACAGAGTTGAATAATGCTACAACCCACGGTATGGTGAGTGTTTAATGTTAGTGTTTAAGGTGTCTCCTGCCCAGCCTTTTGAGTCAGTTCACTTGAAATTCTCTTTAATTGTGTATGCAGTTTTTGTTTGTGAACTTGTACTGTTATTGAAAATGTAACACTGTTAATAGTTTTTTTTAAAATATCTGGTTAAAATACCGTTTCAACAACATAGTTGGTTAAAATACTGAATTTAGGATATCAATATGTCATCTTTTGAGAGCTGTACAAATATCAATTTGTGAAGAATAGTTTCATATTTTTTATCATCTAAAACTGGCTCCCACAGGAGATATCCTTGGGTGAGATCAAGTGATATCTACACTGTCGATATCGATCAGTGAAATTGCATCACAATGCTTTGCAGACCATTCTGACGTCATTGGTTACCGTGACATCACAATCAAATGACATCACTAATGGCTCTGCTACTGAAGCTGTAAGCAGTACTTTTTACACTTAAGACACTGCTTATTACTGTCTACAAACTGAAAAAGTTGGAAGAATGATGTTGGATGATAATTAAAATCTCACCCTCATGTCTTTGGATATCAAATATATCAACACTCGTTGACAATAGTGGAAAAATTCCTCCATTTTTTCAACTCATGTTGATATATTTTACATCAAAAGACACTCAGGTGAGATTCACTATATTGTTGTTATGAAATTCAAACCAATGGGATCTAAAGATGAAAAAGCTGTTACTTTTGTAAATGATGTTCAAATAATTTTAATGTAAGCATTACCAAAAAAAATAAAACATGGGGTACAATGTATATGTAAATATATGTTAGTCCATTACTGCAAAGTGTGTGTTGATCTTAAGACATGACATGACATGATTACCGGTATACAAACATTCAGAAGTCTCTGTGAATTAATTCCTTCTATCTAACTATACACATGTGCATTACAAGTCACAGAGAAAGGCTTTCAGTTATCGTGTGGCCATCACTTGTTCAATCAGGTAGTCTTTATTATAAAGAATCACAATGTGTGCTTTGAGATTTCTTTTCAAGTGTGATCGACCATTGAGCCGATTCTTGTACATGACAGGGTTAAAACTCCTCAAACAGGTTATAGAGAAGTGAAAAGCTCGTGGAACATGTGTCAAATAAAAACAACAATAGTACTATTTCGGTGTGTATTTGGCCATGTGTACTGGATGACACGACGGGGCTTCCTACTTGGGTTGAACCTGTAAGTGGCAATAGTGATCTTTACAATCCTCACACTGGAATGGGATTCCTTTTGTGCAGGTGTATAGGTGTGATAAACGCAGGTGTATAGGTGATAAACGAGAGAGAGAGAGAGAGAGAGAGAGAGAGAGAGAGAGAGAGAGAGAGAGAGAGAGAGAGAATATAACAATATCATTGCTTCTGAATTTAATTTTTTTTATATAATGCAATATATCATGATACGTATCAAAATAGGGCAAAATATTGTGATACACTTTAAGCCTACAATACCCATCCCTGGTGTGTACATGTGTGTTTGTGTGTGTGCATGTGTGTATTTGTAGTTTGTGTGTTTGTAGTTGTTTGTATGTGTGTTGATGTGTGTTTGAAAACAACCAAAATAGTTTGAGTTTGAAAATACAGTGACCTCCTTCCCCAATATGAACCACCAATAATGCAGTTTTGCCATTGTACCTTTTACTTTTCTAATCTATCAAAGTCTTCTCCGGACAACCCAGTGACTGACATCATGAGCATCAATCCATGCAAATGGAATACGATGACATGCATCAACCAAGTCAGCGAGCCTGACCCCGATCCCATCTCTCCCGAGAGTGAGTGAGTGAGTGAGTTGGGTTTAACGCCGCTTTTAACAATATTCCAGTTATATCGCGGCGTGTCAGCTTAATGTGGGAGGAAAGCCCGAAGTGATGCAGGTCTCAGACGTTTACCACTTCGGTGAAACCCACAAGCACGGGTATGGTGCTGACAAACCTAGAAACATAATCGGGGCGAACCGGGATTCGAACCCACAATCATAGGTTTCTGGCGTGCCCAAGGGACGCAACTCTGCACAGCGAATCGCGGCGCCTTAGACGACTGGGCCACCCGTGCCCCCTCTCCCGAGAGAGAGAGAGAGGCTAAAATGCGACAGGCCGATCTAAAGAACACACAATTAAATTAGTTAGGACTTAGTCATACATTTGCTAGAAGTGATTTTTTTTTTTCATATTTGTTGAGATATATTATTTCTGACATAATTTCTTCTGCCATAGAATATTATAACTGATAGTTAAAGATAGTAAAAAAACATAATGAAAAAATATTATAGCAGTGGAAGGTGTTAGCATACTCTATTATTATATACAAAAACCTGATAACACTAAGCTACTGCTTTTTCACTTTCATGCTTAGTTATATGTTCCTGCATTAAAAAAATCCCAATGCGCATCTTTATTAAATAAGACTGCCAGTCCAAGATTAGTATACTACTGACAAAAAATAAGGGAAATGACGAAATGATAGTGAAGGTGCAATGATAAATGTCTGTAAAATAAATTTCGTGCATGTAAAACTATATCTGGTGTGTCGATACACACACACCTTGATGGCATACTGTTGATTACCGGTAGCTTGTGTATGGTTGTTCTTATTGCCCGCCATTCCGCCTCAAGAACTACCGGTACCCAAGCAGCGTTAGAAATTGGCACTAGTCCTATAGTCCTTGCCAAACTGCCCAATGGTAAAGGTATCATAAGGACTAGAAGAAATTTGCCCTTTTTAGGGGTTTTGCTATATGTTATCATTATAAGGACTAGTGGATGAAAACTGTTAGTTTCTAACCCTGCCAAGCTGGGCCACGTTTGTGGGTGCTTGGTCTCTGGTGTACACTATTCTTTCCGAGAACATCCCACAGATATCTTTTGGGTACATGTTAATGGTTTGTTGTTTAACGCCGCACTCAGCAATATTCCAGCTATATGACGGCAGTCTGTAAATAATCGAGTCTGGACAGACAATCCAGTGATTAATATCATCAGCATCGATCCACGCAATTGGGATCGATGATATGTATCAACCAAGTCAGCGAGCCTGACCATCCGATCCCGTTACTCGCCTTTTACGACAAGCATAGTGGCCTTTTACGGCAAGTATGGGTTGCTGGAGACATATTCTACCCCGGAATCATCACGGGTCACATGTTAAGGGACCTAGTGGGCCAGTCCCATGTCTGTATGCCTTCTCGTTGGAGACAATTGGGCAAGACATTGTGACATTGTGAGGATGTAAAATTGCATTAAGATATCGCTGGCAAGTGAAATGTTCATTCATAATAACCAGATCAGTGCTCCCATCATGTGTGATACCGTCCCATACCGATCACGGTCAAGAGTTGTTGCCCTGGCATCAGGCTTGCCCCTACATCGCCAACAATGTTTTCTGAATCCGAGTCTAAACCTTGATTCGTCTGTAAACATGGAGTCATCAGCACACAGCCCGTCCCAGGTGTTCGAAGCCCACCCCAATCTACCTATGCTAAGCTGTTTGGATCACACCATTCACAGGACGCCTTGCTTTCAGGTGGGCTGCACAGTCGGTTTTAAAGGGTAGATGTTGAAATTCGCCTTCCTGTTATTTTATGAAATTCTCTATTGATAACAGGAGCAACTTTCAATCCATTGTGTGGTACAATTATGGAATGAGACGATCTTGTCTACTCCGGGTAGCAGGGTTAGAAACTAACTGTTTTCGTCCACTAGTCCTAATAATGATAACATAAAACAAAACCCGTAAAAAGGGCAAATTTCTACTCGTCCTTATGATATACCTTTACCATTGGGCAGTTTGGCAAGGACTATAGGACTAGTGCCAATTTCTAATGCCAGGTGGGTGTCGTTGTTTTAGGCCTGCATGCCTAGGCCTCATTACAACCCCCCGCTTTTGCAGCAATAGAGTGAGTGAGTGAGTGAGTTTGGTTTAACGCTGCTTTTAACAGTATTCCAGTTATATCGCGGCGTGTCAGCTTAATGTGGGAGGAAAGCCCGAAGTAATGCAGGTCTCAGACGTTTACCACTTTGGTGAAACCCACGGGCACGGGTATGGTGCTGACAAACCTAGAAACATAATCGGGGCGAACCGGGATTCGAACCCACAATCATAGGTTTCTGGCGTGCCCAAGGGATGCAACTCTTGCAGCAATAGAAGCTAACTGTGTCAGTCCACTAGTACTTATAATGATAACAAATAGCAAAACCCTTAATAATGGCAAATTTCTGTTTGTCCTCATAATATCTTAACTATTGGGCAGTTTGGCAAGGACTATAGGTCTAGTGCCAATTTTGAATGCTGTTTTGAGGATACTTGTCCAAGTCTAGGAATTACTTGTCCAAGTCTAGGAATTACTTGTCCAAGTCTAGGAATTACTTGTCCAAGTCTAGGAATTACTTGTCCAAGTCTAGGAAGTTCTAGGAATTACTTGTCCAAGTCTAGGAAGTACTTGTCCAAGTCTAGGAATTACTTGTCCAAGTCTAGGAATTACATATATTGATTTGACAAACATTTGGGCAACCCTCTATCATAGTCAAAAGTTGCCATTTTGTCCATTCATTGAGATACTCTCTCAGAGGAATTTTGAAGTGTGCTAAGCTCGATTCTACCATGAATTTGGAATTTACTCGATTCTGATTGGTCAATCAGAGGCTATTAAATCACAATAAACCCCCTCTGATTGAAACAGCTGGTTTGACGGCCGCTTCACCGCGGAAGCTAATATTCATAGAATAGTACTATTTTCAGTCATTGTCGGTAGGCATATTTAAATAATTATATCTGCAATTACAGGTTACAAAATGCACAGATGCGGTTACTATAATATTCAAAGGATGTGTGGCAATACATTTCATGCAGAAAAACACGACAGAAATAAAGAAAGGGAATGTATTTACGTTTTGGAGACAACAGAGAGCTTGAAATTTTGGCGCTTTTCTATATACGACTGTGACGTCATAGCTTTTGCGTCACTATGAGCGATAT